ACACACACAAATGCATGCATGCACCCACACAAGAAATCAACAACAAAAACAACTAAAAATAACTCAAACAAACACATCCACGTCATCCGAATGCGTCGTCATTTTACAACGCCACGGGGAAAAAAAAAAAATAATAATGCCTTCATGTGGATACACGAAAATGCACGAGGTTTTACCATTAGAATGATGTGCACGTACGCGTATATGCATCAAGGACTTCATTCCTTTCCCAATGCCATCCCTCGATAATTTGGGTTTGCCTCCTCTTTTCGTACTTCTTTTTGCAGTTTACAAACCGTCAAACCTCATTTCTTCCTCGCTTTCTTCTTCGCGTCCTCTACTCCTTTTGCCTCTCATCCCCCCCAGGATAAACCGTATTGCATACAAGAAAATAGTTACAAAAAGAAAGAAAATGGGAAAAAAGGAAAACATACATATATTTGGGCGTACTCGAATGCGTGTAATGCGCAGATAATATATTTGTACCAACATATATATATATATATATATACTGGATCATTATGCCATCTTAAATGGAAGATCCCTCTTGCTGGTTATTTCTGATCTATGCTCTTCTGGACTCCAGTTGCGGAACCCGTTAGGTTGTTCAGTGCACGCTGAGTCATCTCCTTCGTGGCAAAGCAGGCAGCGTTAGCGGGGAAAGCGCGCAGCAATGCAGGACCGAGGCCCCGGTAAAAACCTCGGAGCCCACGCTCCTTGAAGATGCCCCGCACTGCACCTACCAGCGTTAGTTTCTCATGACTGGCCTGCACGCGGGTCTTGATGACATCCAGTGGAACCGCAAAGGACCACATGCCAATACCTCCCATTCCGCCAGCAAAGAGTGATTCCGACACGGATGGTATCTTTGGATTGCTGCAGATGAGCAGTTTTGTGTACTCATATGCGCCAAACCAGGCCATGCTTCCTGGCACATCACGAACCATTGTCATTCCTGTGCCGCGGAAGAAACCACGAAAACCCTCCCTTCGATAGATGAACGAGATAACACCGCGCAGAGAACTGTCCGTGCCGGAGTTAAGAGCTGTCTGCTGACGAATCTTAAGCAGCTCGGCGGGCCCAAGTACGAGAGACCCCAACACACCCGTGCTGCCACCGCATATCATTACATCCGTTATCTGCAGCGGCTTAGAGGCATCCAGAGCCTTCATCCAACGAATGAACTTCTCACAGCTGTCGTAGGCAACAAAGTAGAAGGCGAACACGACGCCCACGCCGGTCATGGGGGCTAGCACACCTTTGTAAAGAGCAAGAGGTCCATCCTTCTTCAAAATGCTCGCCACACAGCTGAGGGCATTCTTGTGCTTGCCTTTGGCGTCCTGCAGAAGCGTTTTGACCGTGTCAAAGGGATGGCCCACAAGCAGAAGTCCAACGCCGCCCATCCATCCGCTGATGAAGCTAGTCAGCAAATCCATTTTCTCCTCCCTTTCTCTCCTACTTTCTCTTTTCTATTTTTTGTGCTCGCTCTTGTCGGTACGCACTTCTTCCTGACACAACAGACATTTGCCATAAAGGGGAAAAAAGGAAGGAAGCAAGCAAGGAAGAAAAAAGCAAAGTTCGTGCGGCGGAGCGATGATGAGGCACGTCGCGTAACGGAGACGCCTCAACAGCGTCCCTGCAGAGGTGATGTCAAAACCCGCCACACACGAACACAAACACACGCAGTGAGGGGAGGGAGGGGGAACAAAAAAAAAAAAAAAGAAACACTACAAACAAATGAGTGGTCCAACTACTACCTCGCCCTCCTAAGAACCAAATTCCAACCACCATCACCACTACAGTTCCTTCGGCCCTCTCGCCCATTTCCGTCTATGCGAGAAGGGTTTTTTTTTTTTTAATTGTTTCCTTTTCTCCGTATGCCTCCTTCTCTGTTTCTCTTTGTCCCCTACCAAAATTACCCACTCTACAAAGAGAAGAAAAAAGTAAAATAAAACATTTTTTCTCCTCCACTCCTTTCCTTTCCGTTTCTCATTTTTATTTTTATTTGGCTCCTTCTCGTCGCACACGCAGTAAGGAGGCGAGCAAAGAAGGGCCGGCCTCGCGCCCACGCCTTTTTTTTTTTTTTCCCGCTGCTAATCCCAGATATAAATGCGCGTATTAATTTGTTTTATTTTCCCCTTTTATCCTAACAGCCTCCCCCTCGCCCTAACAAACTTCGCAACGTTTCCAAGACCGCCGCCTCTCCATCCCGTATCGCGGGTTACACGAGAGGCCATGAGAAGTAACATCGCTGCCGAGCAAGGCCCGTCAAATAACACCTCCATTCCCCTCTCATCACCCACACATATAACACACATCCTCCTCCACTCTACGAGAAGAGCATCAGGAAGGCAAGCATGAGTGCGAAGAGGCCGATAGCTTCCGTCAGGGCAAATCCAAGAATGGCGTAGTTAAACAACATCTTCGTCAGGTTTGGCTGCCGTGCACAGGCCACCAACAGGTTGCCGAAGATGGTGCCAATGCCAAGGCCGACACCCGCGAGTGCGATGGCGGCAAGTCCCGTGCCAACGTAATGCAGGCCCTGCACGGAAATGGCGACGGTCGACGCCCTACGCACCACCAGTGAGGTGGACGAGGGGACCGCAGCGGCCACGCGGCGAGCGACTGGCGGGGTAATCATCAAACGGCGCATCATCTTGTCAATAGTTCGGCTCTGAAATTGATGTTTGATTATTTCGGCGTGTTCAGCGCTGTAAACGTTGTGAAGTCCTCTTTCTTTGTTGTTGGTGTTCGCAAATAATCCCCCGCCAAAATAAAAGACGGGACAAAAAGTCCACAAAACACACACACACACAAAAAAAAAGACATGTAAGCGGCATAAAACGCCCAAAGCATAAAACACACATAAGAGGATAAACCCGCGCAAAAAAAAAAAAAAAAAGGAACGGGACTGCCATCGTCTCCAATTTTCTTCAAGTTAACTCTCCGCGCCTACAGTTATTTATCGTTTCCTCCACCGGCTTAAAAGAGGAAGAAACGTTGTCGTAGTCTTCGTCGTACGCACAAAACTTCATGCGTTTTATGAAACCAACTTTATTTTTCCTTTGAGGGGGGAAGTGGTGGTGGTGGTGGTGACGGTGGGAATGAGTGCCGCCCACGCATGTTTTCTTTTTCGGTGTTTCCATCGTTCCCAGCGGCCGCTTCCAAGATCTCTTCTCACTTCCTAATTAAAGAGAACAAATCCATGAAGTAAGCCTCTAGTTCTTTAAACCTTCCACACACAAAACTTTACACCTTAACTCACGCGTTGCGATGGCGACGTCCTCGACTGTCAAACGCGATCTCCGCCTTCTGGAACTTATTTTCACCCACATGCTCCTCACGCTTCGCCCGCACACGTTTCACACGCCCACGATCCATTTCCATTTCCCACATGGGATCCCGCACACGCTGGCAGAACTTTGGCGCATGTCGAGGCCGGGCGACAGTAATAGGTACAGATTGCTGCTTCATTTCCTCCAAAACCTCCATAACATGGCCCCCGACAATCGCCTCCCTCTTCGCCTCTTTCGCCATCGTCATCTCATCCATCGTCTGGGCTCTTGTTGTTGTCGTGGCTGTTGTGACCAATGCGGGCGGTGCCGTCCGCTGCCGAATGGCCTTTACAATACCGCAGTACCGGGAGTTTAAATGACCATTCTGCAAAGCACTGGTCTCCCTTTTACCATTGACTGGTGCTGACGAGACAACATTTTTAAGCACGCCTCCACTCATAAGCGACGGATGCTCATCTGCCTCATCAGAAGAGGAAGAAGATGCATGAGCGGAGGACATCTCCCGCTGCCCATTCAACTGTCCACGGTGTACACCTTCCTCCTTCTTTCCTTCGTCCGGACTCGGTTGCTTGGCGGCCGCCTTTTTTCTCATCATCCGTCTTACTTCCTCCTCACTCAACGGACGACCCATGTCCTCTTCAGCACCTTCTCTCACAGACCCAGGCAACATCGACGTCGTCATTCTTCCTGTTGCCGCCTCTCCCACAGGACGTCTGTCCAACGGTTGTGGCGTACGTGTTTCTTTCTTTTGCGTATACTTTGCGCCTAAAGAAGACGGTTCCACCCGAGAGTAAAATAACATGTAAGCTTGCTGCCGAAGCGCACGTTCCTCATCGCAATAAGACACGCGTTCGTCATTGCACAAAAGCCACATTCCGTTACGAGCACGCACAACACTATAGTAATGGCCATAAACGAGTAAGTTACCCTCATGAATGCAAATGGCGTTGAGTTCATATAGACACGAGCTATCCTTTTCATCACCACCCGCATTACGACGAACTGCCGCATTTGCTTTCATCGCCTTATCAGTACAAAACGGGGCCAAGTTAAGCTTCTTTGGATACTGAATGTACTTTGTGACCTTCCCTCCCATGCAGTTAAAACGTTTCATGTGAATAATAAGAACGGGTGGAAGTTTATGAAGCTGAAAACGTTTCGTTGCCTGTACAGCCACCCCACGCGGGCTGACGTAGGAATGCCTGCACAACTTTTCCTCCTGACAGAGCTTTGCCAGGCAGTGATCCAGGGTTTGCCCCACAACTTCCACACTGAGGGTGACAAAAGGATCATATGTATTCGACACCAACACATCGCTGCTGGAACCACGGCTGCTTAATTTCAAATCGGCCGCTTCTTGAATTTTTCCTGCTTTTATGAGGCGATGAATTTCCTCCTGTCGACTCCAAGCGACCACGGAGCAGAGATACCCACCAATAACACGTTGCAACGTGCTTGTCTGCTCAATACAAGAACTGACCTTTCGTGATCCAATCTGACGAAAAAGAATGGAGCGGTGACAAGCATGCAGGAGTTGAACTGCAAACTCATGTGCATCCCCCTGTCGGCCAAGCTGAAAATGAGGAAATAGACCCTTAAGGTTGGAAACAAGAAGAGCCGCGCGACGCGCTCGATTCGATGGGGTGTGAATATTCCGTATAGTTTCCCCCAACGCATATGCATAGTCGTATGGCGCACCCACCACATGTGAGCACGGAGCCTTAAAAGTACCGGCAAAATACTGCGCGAGAGCCGGTGTATAAGCTATGGCCTGAAGTACACTGTTTACAAAACATGTGTTGCCCATGTTCTCTAGTCCGCATCCAGCGGGCCCAACATGGCGCCATCGCAGATGAAGTAACTGACGCAGCTGCTCATTACGGCACAACATCTGCTCCTCCTCAATATGCAGCGGGTCATCTTCGTCAATGTCACTTCTCTCTGACTGTTCACTCTCGTTGGACGATGCCTCGTCGGCGTTATCCTTCGCCCTCCCATCGTGTGCAACCTCTCGTGTGTGGTGGGGGTTTAACACAATTGCATGTCGCGGGTAGCTAACAACGGAGGGCTTTCGATACCGCTCAAACTGAATCGGTCGAAAAATGACGTCGCGGCCGACAAATCCATTGGAACCGTTCATGAATTCCATGTTTTGTATTGTTTTCCTTTTCCTTTTTGGTTTCTTCTTTCTGTCCCTTCACCGCGCTCCCCTTCCCCCACCGCCGCCTCCGTCAAGGCGTCACCCTCTCTGCGGCTGTGAGCCACCAGCGACGGAGCGGAAAACAAGGAAGACGAGAAGAAGAAACAAAGGCGGAGTGCAGAGTTGTCACGCCCAACACCGTCAGCATAAGGCCACGCAGTCCTGAGAGGGAAAGAAGAAAATAGAAAAACAGCAACCGAGCGGAGCCACAAACTTTTTGTCATGTTGTGAATATATCTGAAGGGTAAAAATATCCAGATCCGCCATGTACGCAACACCACCAAAAACAACAAATTCCGTTTGCTTTTTTGTGGAATTAAAAAAAAATAAATAAAAAAAGAAATATCCGTTGTTGCGGCTCGCGCATGTTTCCTCATAAAAGCGTCCGTCCTCGTTTAGCGGCTCAGGTGGAGACCCATCGGCGAGGAGTATTCGCCACCAGCCGGTAGCGGCACGACTGCCGGGCACCCCTTTAGTCTCCTGCAGCCACCCACCGCCGTGCACAGTTCGCTTAATTCTTTCAGGACTGTCGTCTCCGTCGGTCGCGAGCGAAACATCCGTGACAGGAGTTGGCCCGCCTCCTCTGTGTGGTTCGCTGCCGCCGCCGATTGCGTCAAGGGCGGGACAAGTCCAGACTGAATCTGATGAGTCAACTCTTCTCTTTTCAAATTCTGCCACGCCACGGTTCCATCAAAAAGGAAAAAAAGAAGTTGGGCCTGAAACCACATGTCACTGCTACCATCGCACAAACGCCCACGACGCACTATGTGGGACATTTCCACGCTCCATGCATTCCTGACATGAATTTGCCCACAGGCTTCATAGGCCTCGTATGTATTAAAAAACATACAATTGGAGCGTCCATGACAATAAAAACACCGACAATATGTGCTCACATTGCTGTATGGGTACCGCGTATTGGCCAGAGGTGTTGCAATCCCCTTCTGTATGGTATCAATGTCAATAAGCCGCAGAGCGTAGAAACCGTCTTTTTCCCTTTTGAGTAGATATTGACTGGGGTGGTTGTCATCGTATGAAAAGAAGCCAGCAGGGTGTTCCTCGTGCATAAACTTAAAGATGCAGAGAATCTGGATGGCAATCTCCAACCGCTGCCTTAATGAAACTCGCTTACGATACGCCTTTGAACTCAAGAGCGATTTTAATGTCACATGATCGGTAAGAACAGACTGAATCTGAAAGATTCCATCGTACTTGGAGGAGTAGCAGCTAAATCTCGGGTAATGAATTAACGGGCTTCGTTTCGCCCTCCCCTGCACAAATTCATAAAAGCCTTGAAAGCTGAAGTAATGGTACGGGTGAAAAAGCTTTACAATCGCCTTTTCCTCCTGCCACAGCCCGTGAAAAACCGCCGTCTTCTCCCCATACTTAATTACTCGAGAAAGCACAATCTCATTCGGAAGGTGTTCGCATAAAAGTGGGTGTTTGAATCCCCCCGCCATGACAACATGGTGCCCACCAGAAGAAAGGTCTTCCGACGCCCCTTCTTGACGGGAATGACCGCCTTTGAAACAGTCTATGAGAATCACGAGGGGTCCAACAGGTGATCCATCTTTCCACTCATAATCAACACCCGCCGAAAGTTGACTGAACACGCAGCCCTTCTTCACTGCAGTCCTAAACAGAGTGTCCGTTAAGTTCAACCCACGCCGTGCTTCCAACTGGTGACTCATTATAAAGTACGTTGTGGTCGCCGCACCCGCCACCATCTCCACAGTCCCCTCCAACGTAGAGAAATTCGCAAATCCCCTTTTTAAAAGGTACCGCGTGCTCACCACCTGCACGTCACTAAATACACCGCCAAAATCATCGAAGATGCCACGATAAAGGTCAGATGATGTGTTTCCACACCGCTCAACATCCGCCTTCATCACTTCCTCAAAAAGGGTTTGTGACGACGGAAACATCAACCCACTTGCCTCCGCCCTCTTTCGCATGCGAATAATTTGTTGGGGAAGCTGATCCACGATACTACGGTTTGATCCCTCCAAAATATCTTTCTTCCCAATGCTCTTGGTGTTCGTTCCGTGGCAACTCCCATTCGATGGGAACAACACTGGGACCGGTGCACCTCTTCCCTGCCCGGGCGGATTATGATAGGCTTCACGTAACGCCATTGAACACGCTTTTATAGCCCATGAAGAAATTAGTGCGCAGCGCAGACCCCCTCTGCCTAATACTCGTTTCAGCAGCTCGGGCATCGTCCTTTTTTGCCGTTGCAGACTCATCTTCACAAGAAGAATAGCCTCACGATCAAATGCTTCGTCGTTTTTTCCTATTTGAACTCGTGCTGAGTTGGCCGTAGCATGTGCACCACTACCGTCACTGGAGGAAAGAGGAAATAGTGGTTGCAGGCGTACTTGCGATACTGGCAATTGTGTTTCTATGCCTTTTTCCTCCCAAAATAAAACCACAGCGGGTGGCAAAAAAGTAAAGAGGAACCAAATAAACAACACGCATGCAATGGCAAGACGTTTCCGCCTCATGCGCGGCCTCCTCCTAATGTGCATTGTGTGCACACCCGCACCTTTATTTGTGGCCGCCTCCAGATCCATGAGCCAAAAAAAAAGAAAAAAAAAAAAGAAAATAAATAACCAAAGAGTTACCTCAAAAACAGAGGCAATCAAAAAGAGTCAACGCACAAAAGCAGCGGATTATTAATGTCTCTCTATTTCCCTTTTTTCTCCAGAGAGAGGGAGAGAGAGAAAAATAAATTATCATCACAACACTTGGTCTTCCATGTCATCAGGCCTTGAGCGCTTTCCCAGTGTACTGCCAAGTATAAAAGGCGTTCTACGGGCATTATAACGGCGTATTTCCTCAGAACGCGGCGACGGCACTAGGCAAATGGATCCCTCCTTAGAGACTGTAGAAACAACAGAAAGATCAGCCGCACTCGCACCAGCATGAGGCTTCACAGAGGAAGCTGCCGATGAGGAAGTCGCGGATGCAGGCCGAGTTAAAAACAAAGTCTTCACAGGATGAGAAACAATGGGAGCACAAAAGGTGGTTTCACTCGAACAACTAGACGTATGGGCGGCCCCGCTACGCTCGTTAAATGACTTCGATGCAACTGCAACATGAAATTTCGTTCGTTGTTGTGGAGAATTTTTCGGCGTAGGGGAATTTGCCGGATGATTCGTTAACACTTCATGCAACGTTACCTGCCTTTGGATTGGTGGTGGTGATGGTGTCACCGTCACCGCAGCAACAGGAGACGATCCAGCGCCAGCTGTACCCAAAACTGGCGTTGAATGAACAACTTTACGGGCTTCGCGCTGCTGACGCAGTTTTGCAATGTCAAGAAGAGCATTCTCTGCAGGTGCCACTGCTGATGGACTTTGAAACGGTGTGTCCGGCGATGTATCCGCTCGAGGACTTTCGTCCGATGTTTTTAAGACTTCGGCATTCGAGTCACTGCCTTGCGTCAGTGGACGTGATGGACGCGAACCGGAGTGAGAGAGAAAACCCTCCAGTGTCACTTGCTTCTTCTCCGGCGAGGATGGCGTGAGAGGGACATCGGAGCGGAGGATGCGGCGTGTGTCAGCCCCCGCACTCCATCCTTCACCGCCAGCTTGGCTGTCTTCAAGGACAGCATGCGTCACGTTTAATTTCGTTTGCAGCATCGGCCAAATGACACTATCGGATGTTCCCTCCGCGAGGAGATATTTGATGACGCATGCAGATGATTGTCCCATGCGGTGAACACGGTCCTCACACTGCAGGTGGGTACTTGGATTCCAATCCAGCTCCGCAAAGACCACCATCGTGGCGCAGGTGAGATTGTGACCCACACCACAGGAGTGCATCGACAACACCGCGACATGGCAATTAGTGGACGTTCGAAAATGCGTCGTCAGCGCCTCTCGCTGGGCTGCTGGTGTCTCTCCTGTAATGTAAATGTAGTCTAGGGGCTGCTTGGGCTGAACACTTTCCACGGCCTCGCGAATAGCCTCCATCATGCATTGGTGGTGGGCAAAGATGATCACCTTCTGCCCAGATTCCACCATTTGCTCCGTCGTGCTCTTCACGTAGTCCTGCACAGCGGCTATTTTGGCCCGAGCCGTGGCAATCTTCAGGTCAAAGGCGGTCATATTTCTTGTTGCGGTCGCGCCGCCGGGTGTACATTTCGTTAAATTCCCACCGGTACCTTGAGTCATGTTCGTCGTGCCCACCGCGGCTCCTAAAGTGGGGAGCGTTGCCCCGTCCCTAAATGAATTTCGAAGCGCCAAAACACTTTTTTCAAGTGCCTTCTTTTCTTTCGGTGTAATGTACACATACAGCAGTTGACGAATCTTCGATGGCAGCTCATTCCCAAGCTCCCGCTTCGTGCGACGAATGACAAACTGCTGCAGCAAAACATGTAGTTCACTCATGTGCGAGTGGCCCAAGTAGTCCACACCAAAGCGACCCACAAATGCGTTACAGTACCTCGCAGCAAACAGAGACTTGGACGGGGTCCAGGATGGATGCATGATAGTCTGTAGTTGGGGATAGAGCTCAATGGGCCGCGATAACGTGGGTGTGCCGGATAACAATAACACACGACGAGCAACACGACATAACTTAAGAGCCGCCACCGTTCGCTTGGAGTCTACGGTTTTAATATAATGGGATTCATCAAGTATAACCACCTGGAATGTGGTTGACTGAGTATCCAGACTTTTCAGCGATGAATACGGCACAATAACGGCACTGTGAACATCCGTCACACGTACCTTGCTGTTCTGAAAAATAGCGATCCGCCCAATGGGAATGCTGCAAAAGCGCATGAGCTCCTTGGTCCAATTTTCCACTAGTGACAGGGGACACACAATGAGCACAGGCCACTCGTTACGGTAGTGGTGGGCCACTGCCAGTGCCTGAACCGTTTTGCCCAGACCCATATCATCTGCAATCATCCCGCGACCACCGCGTGCGATGATGAAATCCACGCCTTTCTTCTGAAACGGCCGCAGTTGAGAGTACACCACGTCATCCACATCAGCAGGTTGTGAGGCGTTTCCATCAATATTCCGTTCATGCTTTAGTTGAATCTCTTGTACGGCTTCCAGGCAACGAAAGAAGAAGGACGGGATCTCCTCGATATGCACTCGGACTAAAAGTTTCCTCAGTGCCACAAGCAGGTGGCTGTAGGACTCCATCGGATACAAATACGCCTTCTTCGCCACGTACCACATGGGCTGAAACTGCGCGTCCTCAAGAACGGCGATCACCGCTTCCACTTCAGGTGGTGAGACTGTGGCAGCTACATGCGGCGTCTTCTTTTCCGGATGTAGCACTGCCTCAAAGCGGACCGCGATAAATTCACCTGTGACGGCAGGGGGAGCCACCACCCTACGCCATCCGTCGGCATGCAAGGGACACAAGGCAAAAAAACGACATTTACTCATGGCGCATACGTAACTAAGATTGCCGTCCTTGCCCGCCGTGCACTTTACAGGAATTTCGCAGTAGCAATTCATTGAATGTGTGATCGGTGCCGTTTCGACAGCTGACCACCTTAATTTATATATAAAACTGCATTTAACGTACATAAAGAGAAGGATGAAGCAACATTTAAAAGAGGAAAAAAAAAAACCATAAAGAGAAACAAAATTTCCCACTCTCCCTCAGTAATGACGATGGAAATGAAGTAAATAAAGCACCATGAGGGCTCAACAGGAAATGACAACAAGAGTGTTGATAAAAGCTGAGGAGGGAGAATTGAGATGAACGGTGCGGTGTTGGTTATCCGTCCCCTTAATGTCGTTACGATTTCACCCTTCCTTCCTCACTCCATTTTCCCCATTCTTTTCATTATTTGTTTCCTCCTGTCGTTTCTTTTTCATTCATGGGCTTCCCACTCCCTTTTAACCGTATGTATGTATGCATGTATGAATAATATATTGCATCTGTGCGTGTTTTGCGTTGGGAACAGAAGTAACTCGCCATTCTTTTTTTTTCATCCTTTCATTCTCCCTGAGCATGTGCATGCGCATTTGTGTGTAAGATGCGGACGCACACGGTACTCACATTCACCTTCGCTTTGTTCTTTGCGTTGGACGCGCATTGTTATGCAAAGTCTGCCTTTTTCTCATCGGTGCCGTCCCTGCGGACGCCCCTTCTCTGCTGCGCATTTCCTTCAGGATTTCTTCCACTCCATCCAGCACGTCTTTTGTCGTCACGTGGTTCGCAAGCAATCCGTCACGAATGAGCTCAAGCTGCTGCTGCACCTGCTGGGCGTGAAGTGGCGAGACAAGAGAGAGTGGCGAGAGTTTCCGCAGCAACGTAAGCACCTCCATAAAGAGCGGCTCACCGTACATGTACACACACTCACCGTACTCGCGTATCAGCTGAAACGCAAAGCCAAAAAGCCAGGACAACACATGACCTTTTTCCATTGCCTGCTTTGCCACAGCGGAGGAAGTAGTGCAGGCAAAATGAATACATTGCAGGAACTCCAGGCGGATTTCTGCGGAAGCAGCCACCATGGAGACAATTACCATCATCGCCTGCAGAGACTCCGATCCAAGGAGTGCCATCATATCCCCATTTGTCTGACACCCAAACTGAATCAAACGAAGAATGAAGTTTAAATGAGTGGGCGCTTCCGATTGCAGTTCCCGTGCTACCTCCGCAAAAGCAGCGGCAACATGTCCGCTTGTCCTGTTCTGAGTTTTTTCCTGACGTTTAATCATCAGAGGCGTTGTGATGCACGCGAGGGGGAACGACGTCAAGAAGTGATGAAGTGGAACTGGATTTGAAAAGGCCTCTTGTGTCTCAAGCAAAAATCGCATAATATCGTTGTGCAATGGATAATCCGCATTGGAGAGGGGATGGAGCACCATCACTAAAAAGGCAGAGATGGGGGCAGGGAGTCGTGGACAGTTCCATGTGAATTCCCCTTCTTTTCCTTGCGGATATTTGGCCCGCCCCTTCTTGCTGGCCAGCTGTGTCAGTTTTAATCGAGCAAAACCAACAACAATGCGTGTGGGGCCACTTGGTGTCCATACGGCAGACAATGCCGCCGCGCCCAAGCGTCTGAGCTGCGGGTCCGTAAAGGACAATGACCGCAAAAGAAATGGAATGCATTTAGTTCCAATGTTTGTTCGCGGGAGTTGTTCTACTGGCAAGGAGAGCACGGTGTGGAGAAGCGGCAGTAAATAACGTGGATCCATGACAGTTGTCGCGGTGAGTTCATCAAACGACGCCAACATGATGTCATCCTGCACCGAGAATTCTGGAAAGAGGCTTCGAAGAACCTCCCAACCCGCGTCCACTTTTGCATTCACCAAGATTGTGTTGTGTAGACGTGCAGGGCACTGCAACGCCGCCGTAACCACTTCCTCGTCTGTCCACATGTCCACAAGAAGAGACAACATATCAACCTCGGGTGCAACATGAGGAGTTTTTTGGTGATCCATGATGAGAAACCGTTGGTCCAGCATTTGCTGCGGCACCAGAATGCCACTAAAAACACGTAAACTTGTCGCCGTTTGCAATTCAACCAACGATCTGTCGTGATCCTCCTTCTCCGCATCATCTTCGCCTTCCATGGCAAGCCGCATTTCCCCCGTATTGTCACCATAAGGATGTGTCACAGCACCCCGCTGTGCCTGTTGCAGGTAACAAAGAGTAAGCAGTGTGGTGTACCGTATGCGATCCATCGTCGAAACCGTTCCCGAGTATGTGCGCAAGAGAAGTCGTGAAATGGCCTCAAAGGTTTCACTCTCCAGGTGAACTTGCAATGCGGACCCAATAACTGCACGCTTAGCATGCCCATGCAGCAGCAACCGCGTGGCTGCCAGAAGAAGGAGAAAAAATCCCGCAATTTTACCTTCTTGAAGGGAACGATCGAGTAAAACACGCGTGACATCTGTTGCATCATTCGCAATGTTTTTCAAGAGGTACTGGCTACAGTCAAGAACACTGCAATAAGCCTCGTTCGCACTTTCCGGTTCGCTGATAATTTCTCCGCTGAGTTCATGGAGGCATCGTAAGAAAAGTCCCGCCAATTCCCACCCCAGCGAGGCGGATAGGCACCAAACGGACGGAGGGGACATTTTGTCTTCGCCAAAGTGCCGTCGCAGTGCATGAACGTCACCGGTGCGGGCGATGGTAAGCAGCATCATTTCCTCCTCTTCGACATCTGTCGCTGGCATCGGCGACCGCAGTGTTCGGCAGAATTCGAGAAGTTGATCGTGAATAGGCCGCAGGGAGCAATGATCCTTTTCGGCCTGCAGCATCGTCAGTGCGATGCGCCGCTTGCCGGACTCATCGTTGCGTGCGTTCTTGAAGACAATTGGTAGTGTTTCCCTCATGCGTTCGCCGCGATCCGACCACTCACACGCGACCCGCTCCGTGACTTTTTTAAACGCCGCTACGTGCTCCTGCAGGTCGACTGTCCAGAAATCATTCCCACCGCCTGTGGCAGCGCCCGTCGGCTCCCTATCATCCCTCTTGTTGTTACATTCATGCCATGACCTCTTATTCTCCTTCTGCTGCTGCTGCTGCTGCCTTCCATCATTTCCCCTCCGCACCACCACAGTGCCTTCGCTGTTGCTTTTGTTATTGGTGTTATCCTTCATTCCCACAGCACTGCCGCCATTCGACGCGGATTTCACCTCGGCTTTGGCCACAAAGGTCCGGGCGGCGCAAACGATGATGCCAGCATCTCCCAGCATCAGCTCGTGCGCAATGCGATCCGCGGCCTTTGACAGGCTTCGCTGCAGCAAATAATTAATGAGATGCACAAAGCACGGAATCGTTGACTCGTCCATCGCCGCAAGCCACAAGAACGCCTCCTCCAATTCGCACACAAAACTCACAGTCACACCGTGCACAGTCCACTGCATCAATCGCGCTACCCACGCCCATGCCAATTGACCCTCCTCATCACACGGACTGCGGTGCTTTACAGCCCACAGCATTACACTCAACAAGAGAGGCCACTCCAACACCCCCTTTTTTGCACCACTCATTGTGACGTGGTGCAGCTTTGTCATCGAGACGCCATGCGAAAGTGCGGATACGAGGAGCGAACAGAGAGCGGACACGCTTACTGCTGGCCAAGTTGTGACCGCACCTTCACCACGACGCAAGGCATCCTCAATAGGATTGGCACACGCACAAAACGTTGGAAGAAATGACGGAACCGCACTCAGCCATGAGATGCGCAGCTGAAACACTTCCCCGTATAATTCCATAAGAAGGAACATACGTTGGGACAAAAAGAAAGCCTTCTCCTCAGGTCCCCGCGTGGTGTTTCCATTTGCGTTGGACGAGGAAATCATCATGGGATGAAGCTGTTGCGTCATTCGATGCCAAAACTCTTCCCGACGAGGAATAGCCTTCAGCAAGGCAGATTGCAATTTGGCATCAAATGTTTCCCACTCTTGACGGTTACCTTTATTCTTTTCATCGTTCGATTGAACATCCTGCAGCTTCGCCACGAGGCGTTGAATGGCTTTGGCCCTTGTAAGGATGGCGCATGTTAACTGAATGGAAAACAAGAGCAATAACAAGTCACTGGACCCATTGATGAGACGATGCACGTACTCCGCCACCCATGAGGGGCATATTTCATCAGCCACATGTTCTGAACTCATTGAGAAGAACCTCGTCGCACTCGCCTCCACTTGCACTAGCCTTGCTTTGCCAGCAGCCAAATGGTACGGAATCGGCGTGAGCATGGCGCGAGTCATGAGATTCAACGTAGCCACCGTGGCGGTGGTGGAGGAAATACGGCTCGTGCCGCCCTCTTCTCCAAGATGACTGGAGACACGCGTGAAAAAGGGTCGGATCAAGTCCGGTGCCTGGTGCAGTATAAATATTACCAGGCGTGCCGATGCCGGAGAGCTCTTTGGCCGCAACTGACGCAGGATGAAAAAAAGCAGGTAGTTCGGCATCCCCCTGTCCTCTGCCTCAAGGCGCATCACTTGATAGTCGCACGGGGATTCCAGCAGCTCCACCACAATTCGGCATAAAATGCCGTACGCGTATTCCGACACCAGCGCATGATCAAGAGCCTTCACAAGCAGACGGATGATGTTCTTCTGCGCCAGAAGAACCGATCGCTTTCGCGTCGCCGGAATATTTCCCTCCACAAAATGTTCACCAAATACACGAAGGGCCGCACGAGCGATGTCGAGGCCCTTTTCAGTGCCCTCCTGCAACAGCTCCGCGGCATCCTCCAGAAGGTGGGTGAGGTACCCGTGCGCGCAGACCACAATCTCCACGGTGTTCGCGTGCGGGGAGGCAACAAGGCTTATAAGAAACTGCGCCCGTGCCACTCTAACGCGTCGCAGCGAATACGGCAGCTGAAGAGAGAAGCACGAAAGGTGAAGCGGCACCGTGTTCCCAAACCGGGAGAGAACCAACTTGGGGAGGCTGCCTGCAACAACCACAAGAAATTGCAGTGCAGCCATCGTCACAGGCAGCATCGCATCGGAGAGAGACGCAAGTCCTTTTCGCAGCACCCAGAACGACTTGCCACGACACATCTCTCGCAAGGCACCTGAACGCGCACCCGCGTTATCAGACGATTCCACCAGCT